GCTTAGAGGACCCCTTTCAAGATTTCCTGTAGGGCTGGTTTTGTGTTTGCAAATTCCTTTAGTTTTTGTTTGTCCTGGAAGCTTTTTATCTCTCCTTCAATTTTCAATGACAGCCTAGCTGGATAGAGTATTCTTGGCTGCATATTTTTCTCATTTAGTGCTCTGAATATATCCTGCCAGTCCCTTCTGGCCTGCCAGGTCTCTGTGGATAGGTCTGTTGCCAATCTAATGTTTCTACCCTTGTAGGTTACATATCTCTTCTCCCGAGCTGCTTTCAGGATTTTCTCTTTGTCTATGAGACTCGTAAGTTTTACTATTAGATGTCGGGGAGTTGACCTATTTTTATTGATTTTGAGAGGGGTTCTCTGTGCTTCCTGGATTTTCATGCCTGTTTCTTTCCCCAAATTAGGGAAGTTCTTTGCTATAATTTGTTCCATTATACCTTCTGGCCCTCTCTCTCTTTCTTCTTCTTCTGGGATCCCAATTATTCTAATGTTGTTTCGTCTTATGGTATCGCTTATCTCTCGAATTCTGCCCTCGTGGTCCAGTAGTTGTTTATCTCTCTTTTTCTCAGCTTCTTTATTTTCCATCATTTCATCTTCTATATTACTGATTCTCTCTTCTGCCTCATTTATTCTAGCACTTAGCACCCCCATTTTTGATTGCACCTCATTAATAGCCTTTTTGATTTCTACTTGGTTGGATTTTAGCTCTTTTACTTCTCCAGAAAGGGTTTCTCTAATAACTTCCATATTTTTTTCAAGCCCAGCTAGTATCTTTAAAGTGATGATTCTGAACTCTAGATCTGACATCGTACTAATGTCCGTATTGAGTAGGTCCCTGGCAGTCGGTACTACCTCTTGTTCTTTTTGTTGAGGTGATTTTTTCCGTCTTGTCATTTTGTGCAGAGGAGAATAGATTAATGAGAGAATAAAATGCTAGCAGAGTAACCACGTCCCCAGAAAATATACTCTAAACAAATCAGAAAAGACCTTCCAGAAAGTGGTCGCTTTTCTGTTCAGAGAGTTGTTGCTCTTCTTTTCTTCAATCTCCTGTTGAGTTTGTAGGTGTTCAGAATGGTTTGATCCCTATCCAGCTGAATTCCTGAGAGGAGACGAAATCCAGGTCTCCTACTCCTCCGCCATCTTGGTCTGCCCCCCATTATATACCTTTCTTATTCTTTTCCTCTCTAATATGCTTCTTGGCAGCTTTTAGGAATGTAAAGGAGGTCATTTTGTTTAGTTACAAATCAATTAGAAGTGAATCTACAATAAAACAAGTTTTATAATATATAATTTGTAATTCATAAGTTAAATTAACCCTGAAAAGGTTCAAGAAATGGTGAATGTCTGAATTCTGAAAACTGTACATAGAGAACTATTTTCTACTGTAGATTCCATATGAAACATAGTAGTTTGGTGGGTTTTTTTTGTCTGTTTCAATTTTCAAATTATATTTAAATAGGGTCTTTGTAAGGGGTTGGTCTTTCAGGTAAGATCTGCACCTTTAACTGCCTCTATCTAAATCAGAAAGATTGGTCTTCATTTTTTAAAAAAAACTAGGGTAGGAATGATATAGAATCTTAAATTTTCCTGGCAAGTTTTCAGCAATGACATTTTTGTCCCATTATAAAACTTGAGGGGGGAAAAAAGAAAGCGTCCTTTGTACTTCTGTTGTCTGAAATATTAATGAAGTATTTTCCCATGTTACTTGTAGGATTTTTATCCAGGTTCACACAGCATGAATTCTAGCCAGGCATTGTTTATGAGGTTCATTTCAAAGCATATAAAATTTGGCTTTTTCGGGGTGCCTGGGTGGCTCAGTTGGTTAAGCGACTGCCTTCGGCTCAGGTCATGATCCTGGAGTCCCGGGATTGAGTCCCGCATCAGGCTCCCTGCTCGGCAGGGAGTCTGCTTCTCCCTCTGACCCTCCTCCCTCTCATGCTCTCTGTCTTTCATTCTCTCTGTCTCAAATAAATAAATAAAATCTTTAAAAAAAAAAATTTGGCTTTTTCCAGAAGGATAAATAATTTAGAATTGCTTGAGTATTTCAGATCAGTGATCATATACTGTTGAATTCCTGAGGATGCTGGCAGATACAACCCTGAGTTCAAAAAACCATATAATTCCTCATGGAAATAGGCACTGACAGAAGGAAATTTCTTTCGTATTTGGGAAGAAGAGTCCCAACTCCAGAGTATATTATCAACCAAGCATAGGGGAAACCCAAAAGCATATTTAGTTCTTGGGGCACCTGGGTGACTCAGTCGGTTAATAAGCATCTGCCTTCGGCTCAGCCATGGTCCCAGGGTCCTGGGATTGAGCCCCGAGTTGGGCTCCCTGCTTAGTGCGGAGACTGCTTCTCCCTCTCCCTCTGCTGCTCCCCCCTGCTTGTGCTCTCTTGCTTTCTCTGTCAAATTAATAAGTAAAATCTTTAAAAAAAAAAAAAGCATATTTAGTTCTTATGTTGCTTGATAATTATTGTTCCATAGGAATCATTCCAATTTAATATTGCCCAGTGGTTGATCTTTTTTATTAAAATCAATGCAGATGTTAGTTTTAAATATACCCTTTGCTTCTCATGGTGTCTACTTTGAGATCTAGGGGACTTGTTCAATAAGGGAAAAACCTAAAACAAAATAAAAACTATGCACAACTTATTAATACTGCTAATTAATAAAGGAACCTGTATTTTTTCTCTAAAGGTCTAGTTTTGTGAGCTAACTTAAGACAATTTGGTTGTTCAGTTTATTGGGTTCTTTTTGGTGTTGTAGATATCCAGTAAAAATATAGGTGAGGGCTCTAAGACTCCTCCCCCAGTGCTCTCTATACTAGGTAGTGTGTTAGTCCAAACCAAATTCTGCCACACGTATACTTCTTAGCAAGCAGACACAAAAGCAGTCCTGTTAACTTTTCTGTAAGCTCCATGAAATTCTGATTTTTATTTATTTATTTTTTTAGTGTTCTGATAGCGCCTTGCTTCAGAGGTTCATTTGAGGCATAGTAGGAGCACTTTTAGTTAGAGTTAGGTGACAAAACTCTCAACTAATTGCTGGAGCAAAGATGCTTTCAGAAACCTAAACCTAAGACCCCATTCTTCAGCGTATGGACTGTTGGGTTTACTAGTTCTTGTGAGGGTAAAGCCAGTTGAACAGTATTTCTGGATAATCCACAGATCTTAAATGGCATTTATGTTACAGTTCTGCTCTTCATGGAAGATGAAGACAGCTAACTGAGATGTTTTTAGAACAGGCTGTGGGATTATGGGTTCTTGATTAGTCTTTCTCTCAGACCACATGAGCATCCCTGTAGAGTCTGTGTTTGATTAACATACTCATGTGTTAATCACTGCTAGGGTGTAGGTTCAACCTAACTGTCAGGAACAGGGCAAGACTTCTACCTCAACACTTGGGAACTGGCTGGATGTCAGCTCAAGTCCAGGCTATCAACTCTTCCAATTTGGATCTTTGACCATAAAAGTGTGTGAACACCTGTCAGTTACACAGCAAATCACTGCCTAATTGTTTCTTCCTGGAGAGAACGTTTTACATTTTATTCTTGTCCCTGGGTGTTTTATGGACATCTCTGGGTTTTAGGACTCAAAGGAAACCAACCAACCCACCGGAGCTGGCTCCCCTGTAGGAAGATGGCAGACATTTGTTGAGCATCTGTCCTCTGCTGGGCTCAGCAGGTGGCTGCAAAATGTATGACATAAATAACTCTTGCCTTCAAGGAACTTTGATCTATTAATGAGGATAACAGAAGAACATGAAATTGCTGTAATACAAAGCCAATTAAGTTAACTGCTATAAGAAGGAGTGAAAGAGCTACACACACCTGCTGTCAATCAGTGTTGGAGTTGCTCCTCTCTAAAAATCATTAACAAGTTATCATGGAAGCCTGTCAGAGAAATCATGCTGCTAAAGGACAGTTCTTACTAGGCAATATTCCTAACATGCAGGAAGGTTATTTTTTTTTTCAGGGCTTTGGAGCATTAGTTGGGGGAGTCATCTAGAAGTGAAGGCATCTCTCAGTGAGCACTGGCTCTGATTTTAGGCTCTAGACTCCTGGATGAAGCCTTGTTTCCATAACTGACTTGGGAACCTGGATTATATTTAGATCTTACCACAGCCACGTGAGAAGTATAGTAGTTTATAATGCAAACATTCATACTTTTCCTCCAAATAGTTCAGTGGCTTGCCATTATTTTTCTTGCCCTTAAAAATAAGCTATAAAATCTGTAAGTGCTGTTGATGGAAACATAAAGGAAATTGAATTACTGTATTATTAATGCATTGATTAATACACTTTTTAACACGAAAGATTGCTAAGGACAGAATTGGAATTGTGTATACACTTATTAATCATCACAGCTCAGTACTCAAGTCTGAAATTTATTGACCTTTAATCTCATTTGGGATAGTTTTAGGGACAGAGAGAGACTGTGAATTCTTTGAGCTTAAGGAAATAATTTTTGCTACTTTTTAAGTTTTATACTCCACTAAAATGTTAGCTCCATTAATGTGTGTTGTTAATTATAGAGTAAATACCATTTGTTGTACACATCAGAATGTTGATTAAAAGCTGTTTAAAGGGTTTATCAAGATGATCTCATGCTAAAGAATAAGGAGGACATTTTAAAATATCTTGACATATTTTTCTAGCTAATTGCATAGCTTTTCCTGAAGATACCACCACATGCTCTGCTGATGATAAAAGGCTATGTTTGGTTCTATTCCTGGAAATGTAAAAAAGAGGTGTTGGTACCATTTACCTCCTTGTGCTTGTTTATGGTGTGAGACAACTATCTTTTTGCATCGGTCTCTTTAATGGCACCAGCATCAATGGAAAACAGTATCCCAGTGAATACTTGTTTTGCTCCTTTTGGTTTGATTTTCTATCAAAGAACTCATTTTGTCATAATGGGATTGGAATATTTAGTTTAGTTTTTAAAATTTCTTTATGCACTTACATCATGGCTCATATTTCATTCTTTAACAGGAATTTCAAACAGTTGTCTGGTGAAACGGAATTTATGACAATAAATGGAACAACATTAAAGAATCTTGAAATCCTACAGAATCAGGTGAGGTAAACATAAAGGCTAATTGATTCAAAATGAGTTTGAACAAAAATGTGAAATAAGGTGGCAGTCTGTTCTTAAGAGTGAAGGTGAGAACAAGAATATTGTCTTTAACTGATCACTCTGCCCATCATCTATCTGTTAATTGATAACTGCAGGACCCCTTTTTTTGAGAATCAAATATATGAAATACTTTCCTGGGGGTTACTTTGGGAACTGTAGAGCTGTCCTTCTTAATTATTGAAGTGACATTCCCATCCTGATAATCTCTGTATCAAATATTTGTTTGGAAAGGCATCATCTTTGAAAATTAATGTAAAGTGGATTTTTTGTCTGTTTGATTATATTTTTTCTACCTACCTTTTTCACTGAAATGTCTTCAGTCTTATTATCCAGTATAAAACAAGTTACTGCGATATTCAATTAGATTATAAGATGCATAAATTTCATTTCACAAACTTCCATCATTATTTGCCCTTTATTGATGAATTAGGAAGATAATGGAGACATTAAATTGATTGCTTTCATTTATTAAATTATCACTTAGAAATAAGATCTTATATAATGTTCATAACATAAAGCCATAGAAATAAAAAGCAATCCCAGATCATTTGAGTAAGTAGTTGAAAAGCTGAACCGTCTGAGTTAAATGGTTTAAAGCTCTTCAGAAATATTTATTACTGTTGTAAATTAAAGTAAATGCTGAATTTATTCTCCTGACTTCTACATTTGTATATTACTAACTAGTTTCTCTCATTTAGTTTCTCCCTCTTCCAGGCTATCCTTGTATGCTAGAGTCAACCTTACTTTAATTTCATAACATTTTGATCTTGTCATTACATTATCCGGAGATTGAGAATTTTTCCCGCATATCTTTCTCACCAACTCTGTATACATTGCCCGATAGGAAATGAGTAGTAGGAGGAAAAGAACATTTCTTGGATGAAGAGCTCATAATCAGATTCTGAAGACACGGCGCTGGCCTCCCTAGCTTTCTTTATTCTGCCACTTCTTCCCTGTTCAAACCCTACTGCTGTGGCGTCAGTTCTGAAAATAAATTCCTAAGGCAAAAATACCCTTAAAAGCTCTTTCATTGTCAGGACTTGGGCCATTATAGAAACAGAAGCTAAGAATTCACAGCTTTGGCTTGTCTTTGCACTTGAACTTTGGCCTCTGTTACCATGGAGCAATGGAAAGGGGTAATGAGGAGGGAGCTGGGTATCAGGGAGAGCAATTGAATAACTGTTTCTCTCCCACCCTTCCCTCTCTTGTCTGAGCCTGGTCCTTCAGTGATGCAGGAAATAATTGGAAAATTATTCCCACCCACTTTCCTCTTCCTGGGACCCTTTACTGTACTCAGGCGAGTAGGGCGTGTGTTTTGGAAGAAACGGTGCTGGTTTTGATGTGGACTGCCCTCGTCAGTCAGCTCCTCCTCAGGGGAGCCTTTTGTGACCTGTAGCTTCTGTGTGCGCTCTGCTTTAAACTCCGAAGGCCTGGCAGCTTTTGTCATGGCTTTTATAGTTAATTTCTGCCAAGTGGCATCATGTGTTGATTATGAGTCATTTCTTTCTTTTTTTTTTAATATAGAGTAGGAACATATATTTTAACTCTTCTAAAAGATATTTCTCCATGCCTGATGATTTGATATAAAAATCAAACCCATCATACTTTTCCCACCAATCTTTCCACATCAAGGGCAATCAGAAATTTGTACAACATGAATATTTGCTTCTGAAACAAAAATTACAAATGAAAGTGATAACAAAAGTACACAAATCAATTTCTCCCATACTTGGATATAAGATATGGTCCTCAAGGAGGGACCATATCTTAATACACCTTTGCCAGTCATACAACTGAGTACATAGGAGTATTCTGGAAGTACTTGCTTAATGACTTGAAGGAAAAGAAGTTAAAAAAAAAATTTAGGTGAAAGCAATTTTATATTCCAAATAAGATTTAAACCTATTGACTTTTTGTAATACAATGAGACCTTGGTTAAAATTAACTATCATCTCTAGTTAATTTTTTTTTTTAGTCGTTCAACTTCGAAGTAGCAAAGCACGGGTCAATAATTTTTTACTGAGGATTTAATAAAGCAGACTAAAATAAAGTCTTTCCAGGGTGAATTCCTAGAGTGCAGTTTAACTTCAGTTCCATCTCCAGTACCTTCTACTTGTTCAGTGTTTTCATGGGAGCAGCAGTCCTTAGAACTCCGAGGCCGTGGAGGATACTGAATTGCCAAAGGAAATTAAATTATCTTCACTGTACTTCCTAAGGCAGAAATGTATTTTTAAGATGTGTAGGACAAACATATATTTTAAAAGATTTCTAAATATTCTTAGTTAACCAAAACCACACACAGACTGTCCTTTTTCTGTGCAAATATCAGTACTTTATATTGTATATGTGTGTTCATATGTACATGCATTCGTCACACATTAAATGAACGCCTGTTATGAGCCATACTTTATGATAGGCATCTGTACCATTTAAAATTGGGGTATATGGAATAATTAAGGCACATGAGCAACTAGCAGTTTTGGTACAAATACAACATCCATTTAATAAATAAAACTTTTCTTCTGGTTTTTCTTAGACTGACATGAAAACCAAAGGAAGTTTACTTTGGGTCCTAGACCATACTAAAACCTCATTTGGGAGACGGAAATTGAAGAAGTGGGTGACCCAGCCACTCCTTAAACTAAGGTAAAGGGAATTCTTTTTTGTGTGTTTAATCTGAAATTACATAAAGTTGTGAAATTAAATGTATGTTAGCCTCCTTAAAACCAAGAATACCATAGTTATAAGAACAGAATTTTAGGGGCACCTGGCTGGCTGAGTGAGAGGAGCAGCGATTCTTGATCTCGGGGTCGTGAGTTCGAGCTCTGTGTTGGGTGTAGATTACTAAAAATAAGTGAACTTTAAAAACAGAATTTTAAATTGGAGAAGATTTTATTTTGTATCTGGCAATACACTGTGTAGTATTGTGAGGATGTTTTCCTTGTCCCCAAGAATGAGTTGGCTTGCAGATTGGAAGACATGGGGTGTGTCCAGGGAAAGTGAGTTATCCATTTAGTTTGGGTCATCCGCAGCATAAAAGAGTAGGGAGGAGGGGGTTGAAGAGCTGGGGCACTGCCTTTCGGAGAGGGCTTTGAAGGCTAACCTGAGTTGGTAGCCAGGGAAAGTTAATCCAATGATTCTGAGCATGGGAATGCAGGATCAGAGCTGGGCTTGTATGTGGGAGGGGACAAAATGGTGGTGGGGTGGGCAAGTTAGAAAGTTCATGGCGAGGTTCTGAGGGGCCCGAGCTAAAGCCAGAACAGTAGGGATCTGAAAGAAGGGTCAGGTGTGAGATGTTTGGGAAAGTAGATGAGTAAACCAGGAGCGCCTTCAGGGAAGGTAGCTGAATCTAGTGCCTAAAACGCAGCTGTTTCCAAGCTTGTCTGCCCCTTGCAGTCCTTGGGAGGCTTCGCAGATACTGATGCCTATGTCTAAACCCCCGGAGAGTGTGATTTAATCGGTTTCCAGTGTGGCCTGGGAGTTGGAGTTTTTGAATGCTCCCCAGATGATTCTGATATGCAGATAAATTTGGAGACTCTGACCTGTCACTTAGTAGGAGCCCCATTAATGTTTACCGAATGAATGAAGGCTGTTATTTATTGCATTTTTACTATGTACCACTCTTTAATACTCAGAAGCATCCCCTGAGGTAGGTCCTTGAGATGAGTAAACAGATTCAGAGCTTCAGTTAACTTGCTCAGTGTTTCACAGCTGGTAGAGCCCAGATTTAAAAACAGCATTGACTCCAGAGCTGAGCAGGCACTTAACCATTCTGAACCGTTTCCTAAAGAGACCAGAGAGTGTGGTGTTAGATGTGTTAGAGGTGTTAGAACTGCTGTGCGTCAGCTCTGTCAACTGAGTGAGTTAGTCCACTAAGTCCTTGGGTCCCATGTCCTGTCCCATGTGTCTGCCTCCCCATGCCATGTTCTCACCTTTGAATTGGTAAACTGCCTCCTCACAGGGTTGCCCTAAGGAATAAGATGAGACAGGAATCCTAACTACCACTTTTGAGCTCTTTATTACATGGCAAGCCCCGTACTGGGGGTCTTATGTACCTTGTAGCTTTTGAACTACACAAGAGCCTCACTCTTGGCTGCTTATTATGCTGAGTTTAGTAAATAGTCATCTTCAGCAAAGAAGCACATGTTGTTAGTGCGAGTAATAAGCTTAACACACTGTTATGATGATGATCATTACCAAATCACTTCAAGATTTACCGGTCACTCCAGTTTTTCTTCTTGACCATAAAGACCTTCGGACAGGGGAAACTGACAAGAAGACATTCTGGAAATGGAAGCACAGTTGATCCTTGAACAACTCGGGTTTGAACTGTGCAGGTCCACTTATGTGCACATTTTTTCTGATACAGTACAGCACTGTAAATGTATTTCCTTATGATTTTCTTAACCTTCTCTTTCCTGTAGTTTACTTTGTTATGAGAATACAGTATATGATACTTATATAAAATATGTGTTAATTGGCTATGTTATCAGTTAGGCTTCTGATCAGCAGTAGGCTATTAGTAGTTAAGTTTTGGGGGAGTTAAAAGATATACTCAGATTTTTGACTGTGGTGGGGGAACAGCGCCCCTAATGCCCACATTGTTCAGTGGTCAACTGTGTCTCCTTGGTTCAGTACTGAAATGAGCTAAGAATGCCTTGGGGAGCAAAAGCAGACAAGATGGCTTTCTGCAGAAAGTGTGGAAAGACATCTACCTAAGCATCCATAGGACTTCTTATATTCTTATTTGCTTGGTTGAAATATTCAGCAGAAACAGAGTCAGTAGCAGACTTTTTCATGTAAATTAAAATTTTTATTTCTATTCTTAAAAATTTGTTTTCTATGACTAGGATTAATTTGAGATAAATTCAGTAGACCATATTGTATGCTCTGTAGGAGCTGAATCATGTATCTCTTGGGATCGTACTTTCCCAGGAAGGCTGAAAGAAAATATGCCATGTGTTGAACAGTGATGCTTTCCAAGTATGAACTCTAGATGGGCCCAACACCTATATAGCTGAAAACAAACACAAAAAACTTTTTCCTTTGTGCCGTGCCTTTAATTTTAGATCATAATTTCAAAACTTTTATCTTTCTAATTTACTAAAATTCATTTCAGAAAGAATTTGTTAAATCTTAATGGCACTTGCAACCTATTCCAAATAGCTAGAGGAAATCGTCAGCTGAGTAGTCATTGGTTCAGGCGTATATTTATTATTGTTGTTCGTGCTAACATGGGGGTCATGCAAATCACAGATCTCATCAGTGTGGTTATCCAGGCTAATACTCTCTTTCTAATGTTGGCAGCCAAAAGTTCGTTTAGAGTCTGGTTTTCTTTTATAGGGAGTCATAGAACAAAAAATTGGTGACAAGGGTATTAAGCAAGATATGGTAGGTTTCCCAAAGTTCTCCAAGAGCCTATTATTTGTCAGTTATCCATGAATTTTCTTAAATCCCTAGAGATCTTCTTTATATTTTCAGCTCATTTTAGTTCCTGGGGCAATCACACAGTTCATATATCCAGGACCAACTGTTTTAAGTTTCAGAGGATTTTCCACTCCCATCACCTTTTTTTGTATAAAATAGTCTCTTCAGTGTAGAATTTTACTAGTGACTTTTAGAAAATATAAATAGCTTTTATCCTATATTTACTGACTGATTCAAAGAATTTACTTAGATTATTGAGACTGGATTTTACTTTATTGAAACCAAATTCGCTTCCCTCCCCCCTTTCATTTATTTTTTTTGAGAGGCTGAAAGCCATTTTATTTTTTACAATTTTCTTAATTCAGGTATAATTAACATACAGTGTTATATTAGTTTCACACATCCAATGTCGTGATTCAGCAACTCTATACATTACTCAGTGTCCATCAGGATAAATGTACTCTTTATCCCTTTTACCTATTTTACCCATCTTCCCACCCACCTCTCTTCTGGCAACTACCAGTTTGTTCTCTGTATTTAAGAGTTTGTTTTTTTAATAAATAGGTTGTGTGTTGTGACCTATGCTTTTTATCAGTTCTCTAAGTTTAGGCAAGAAGATTCTTCAGTGTAGTTCTTTGGCTGCTTCTTATATATGAATGTCACATTGGCAAGTCATTCGTCCTAAGACCTTTTAAGATTTTATTTATTTATTTGAGAGAGAGAGAATGAGAGAGAGCACACGAGAGGGGGGAGGGTCAGAGGGAGAAGCAGGCTCCCCGCCGAGCAGGGAGCCCGATGCGGGACTCGATCCCGGGACTCCAGGATCATGACCTGAGCTGAAGGCAGTCGCTTAACCAACTGAGCCACCCAGGCGCCCCAGTCCTAAGACCTTTTAAAATTAAATTATATTGAATTCACTTTTTGAGGTTCTGTCTTTGAATTCCTTCTGCTTCTTTGAGTTGATACGATCTTGTCAATTTTATATATAAACACCATATGTAGTTTGTTGGTTTTGTCAAAAAGCCTTAAAATACAAATTCTCCTTGTTAATATTGAAAGAAATGGGAAAAAGAAAACTTTGAGAAGTATGGGATGCATCTCTAAAATACTGTTTTAGGCAAAATCCTAATTTCCAAGGCGGATTTGTTCATCTTGGAAGAAGGAGTCAAGATTCGGTAGCTTACTCTGTGTTTTAAAATATTAAACAAAAATAAGTTGTGGATTTCCTTTGTGGGTAACTTCTGCCTCACCTTAAATGTGGATGGTCCCCAGGGCTCTCTCCTGGGATCTCTTCTCACTTTCAGCACTACTTAGGATCTTTTCTGGGGCCGTGGTTTCTGTCGCTCTTGTGCTGATGACTTCATCCCATTATCTCCAGCAGCTCCCTGTTCACACATCTGCCAGAACATCTCTGCCTCAGAAAATACTCGGTTTGAATGCTGAATGAAACAGATTGGAAACAAAGCATGTCCTTAAGTGAGATAGTGACTTCTTGTAAATGAAGATGTGTGTGTGTGTGCGCGCGCCACAGGTGCACGTATATGTGTACACACATACAGAGCAGGGTATTATTATTATTTTTTAAAAGATTTTATTTATTTGACAGAGAGAGACACAGCGAGCGAGGGAACACAAGCAGGGGGAGTGGGAGAGGGAGAAGCAGACTTCCTGCGAGCAGGGAGCCCGATGCGGGGCTCGATCCCAGGACCCTGGGATTATGACCTGAGCCGAAGGCAGACGCTTAACGACTGAGCCACCCAGGCGCCCCTAGAGCAGGGTATTATTAACCACAAGGCAGAATCTGAGAAATCAGTCCTTTCCCTTCTAGGATGGATGATTTTGTTAAGCAGTGAAAACACTGGATTTCTGGCAAGAGGTAGTATTATATCATCTTGCCTTTTTGTAAAATCACTTTTTATGAAAGGCAGTCAGATGAAAGCCTTTTCATGAAAGGTTTTTTTATTTATTGAGGGAATCTCTGTGCCTCTGGTCTCGCCCTTCTCTGTTTCTGCTCTGCACTACCAATTGATTACTTTAACAAAAATGTATATCTGATTATGTTGTTCCCTACAGTTTGCAGTTCTCACAACACGCTGGGGTGTCATTTATTTCTGGATCTTTGTACAGTCTGTTTCCTTTGTCTAAAGTGGAAACTTGTACTCATCTCTGTTTCCATTCTAATGTGCTGCCTGCTTCTTCACAGTCTTTGCTATCTGCTC